TATATATATATAATCAAGTAAATTATGGTCATTTATTCATATGGGAAAGGATAGTGCCGTAAATAAGGATAAATGAAAGAAAAAGAGGGACGTACTTTTTGATGGTTTGAAGTGTACCAATAAAATTGGTTAACTAGGCTACACTTTGATCAGTATATATAGCTTAGGCATCTAGTTATGTGTTTGCGATAGCAGAAACAATATTTTTTACTGGTGGATCTAGGATTTAAATTCTATGAGTTCAGCTTTTAAAATTTTTAGTGTTGAACTTATTGTATTTTTGAAGTTATGGGTTCAGACCTACCATTTGTTACAGTTTTAATAATTTCTACACATAAATTTATGTTCCGCATCGAAAATACTAGGTTCATAAGAACCCGGTGGCCAAACCCTACCTCCGCCCCTGCATTCCCACATCAGAACAATGAATCTTTGATTAAGGAGGCCGCCTTCAAATGGCTGCACTCCATTTTTAATAAATAAATAAATTCACCTCCTTCACCCTTACTTTAGAAAATGAAGTCAATACTTAGACATTACGAAACGTCTTTAAGAGTTACTTCTAATACAATATAAATTAAGAAGAATACAACATAAGAAATACTATATTACTTTCAAGATCGTCTGCCATGTGCTCTCATAATATTTATTCTGGACTATAGACGTAATAACTGATAGGAAAAATAGATCTGGATTTATCAAAATTCCATTTCAAACTGTGTAAATTAAGTAGGCGTTTGGACATAAAAAATTGGTCTTTTGTAAAACACACAGTTTTCAAAAAAAATCTAAAAACTTAAAATAAAATTTCATGGACAAACACATTTTTTAAAAAACCTATGAACAAATGGGTGGATGATAACAATTCTTTTTGATACTACTAAAGTGAGATGCCCTTAATGTATTTATCAAGACTTGTACCCTCTCTCTCTCTCTCTCAATCAATTAGCTACAAGAGTTTTGCCCATATATCATAAAACTTCCAACCGTCATATTTACTCTATTTAATTAAATCATTCTATACACTGTATGAACATTCTGTAACAGCTACCAATAATATCATGGCTCATCATTCAATAACTCAATGGGGACTCAAGGTAATTAATCTAGCTGGTTCACTATCTAATATTTTTACTTTGTCGATGGGTTCGATAAATGTAAGTGTTGTTTTGAGTGCTTTCCTAAATTATTAAAAAACTTGGTTCTTTATCTTACTTCTTAAGCATAATGAAATAAATATTAAAATAAGAACAATAATTTTTACGTAGAAAATCACCCGGCTCAAAGGTGCAAAAATCACGACCTACCACGTAAGATTTTAACTCCAACTTCACTAGAACAAAATGAGGCAAATGTACCGATTACAAGACTTGTAAACCAATACCCACATACTTCTCCTACTTCTACTTCCTGAATGAATTATAAGTTACTCTAACTTGTACACTTAGACAAATACTTCAACTAACATGTTTTGAATGACATCTTGATTACAACTCAATCTCCTAATACACATGAACTAACAGACTCAAGAAGAACACTGACTTTCAGTACATACTAATGATCAACTTGAGTGTGGAACTGAAAATGTTGTATGTCGTTCTTCAGTTGATGTGCAAAAGGATAGGAAAGTATTTAACTTCCTAGTACTCTTGAGATCTTTGGGAGTCCTACGCTCAGTCAACCTCTCGTTTGGCAGTAATCCTAAAGTTCTAAGGACTCCACGAATTTTGTAACTCTTGTCTATCAACTATGCATGCAGATATTCTTGGGTAACAGTCCTTATCGCATCAAGAGTCCTTCCCATCAATATCGGACTACAGTAACATTGTGTAAAAGTTACTGCGTTGTAAGAACCTTCAACAGCTACTTTAAGAACCTGGTTCTTAGCACACATTCATTGGACACACTTGTTAATCATCAAAACCTCAATTTTCAACACTAGCATAGACATTGGAGCACATTGCGATTTTAGTTCTATAGATTTCTACCATTTTGTGACTCTCCATTTTGGAGCAGTCTTGCACATGATGACAAAGCTGATAATTTGATATCACCAATTTCGAATAAATGGGACAGGCTAAGTGTCTTCCTTAGATTTTGTATTAGAGGTAGGCCAAAGTATCTCGCCTATAACATAACTAGGAAATGGAAACTTGATGATGTTGTCCCAACCTATTACAGAAGAAAGAACAATATTATGGTCAAATCCACCTCTTCATAATGATGGTTGCTCATATACTATAACATGAATTAATTAATCAAAGATATGAACCATAATGCTACCTAGTCAAATATGTGTGTCATTTCTAAGTCTAACGGATTTCTTCTTTAGTTTATACAGTAATTAGTTTTTAATTGATCCAACATTCATCACGATGTACATTGAATCCGAGACTTTGTCCCTACCAAATCGCTGCAACCATTCATCATGGGTGAATCACTTTAAGAAGAAATTAAACTCGTTATATTAGAAGCCTTATCTCTTTCATTTGTCTTGTTTAGTGCTCGCTTTGAAGCCTGATTAATCCAGATTCATAACGAAAAGACCTATTATAGGAGTAAAGCTCACTCTACCAAAGACAATTCTACTTTCGTGGTAGAAGAGTAACGTTGTTCAAGCTCGACTTAGCAAAAAGGAAAATAATCGAGTGCATCTAAAAAAGAACAAAAGAAAGAGACACACACTAAACACTATGAAACGTGCAACACATGATTATCCCAGGAAATTTTCTGACCAATTGGTCAATTCCTAGGTATCAAATAGTAATAGAGTAATACGTCTGATTATGTCGAAACTATTTTCCATCTTGTACAAACCAAAGGGAGACAAAAAGCCTTTTAATTGAACCTCTAAATTTAGAATCATCCTTCCTGATATTTATATAATCTTGTTTCAGGTCTTAACTTTCTGGGTTCTAGTCCTATTCCCAACTATTGTTCGTTGATTATAATTAAGAGGTCAGTTCGATGCACAAAGCATGTAGGGTCCGGGAAGGGCTGCCCCTACACCAAGGGGTGTGATGTTGACAACCTACCTTAATGCAAGCATTAGTGTTGCTTCTACGGCTCGAATGTGTTGACCTATACGTCACAATTAGTCTCAAACACCAAGTTCATTATCATGCACTTCAAGAAGAGCCTTTACAGAGAGCTGTAAGCTTCGGCAATCTGACTGTAGATATTAATTAGTAGTAATACATAGGGCAGCCTTCATTCCTTCAACACAAGCCCTGTCTCCATATCTGGTTCTCATAATCAGAGTAAACAATAGGCTTGTTATCTCCTAAATGTAAGAGAAAATATACAATAAAACCAGCTTCTGCAAAAGGTGAAAGCTGGAAAATAAAAAAGTGAAAACAAGAAGTAAAAACCAGACTCAACGGCAACTAGTTGCATTATTTCACTCCAGCAGGCTCTATCCGAATTATATTAGGAATACAAGAAAATGAGAGTGAGACAAGTTCTGGCCTCACCTACAATTTGAGTCCATGACACAACCACACCTATATAATTTTAGTGGTCACACTGTTCAACTGATGTACAATTGTACATGGGACCTGACATACCAAGAGGGTGCCTTGATTATTGATGCTTTTTGTTTTTTGAGCTAATGCATGTTACATGTTTGATTATTGATAATTAAGGGTAACTCCAGAGAGTATATGATGCATCAGAATATTCAGGCGACTCTTCACAAGATGTCGTCTTCATCCTAGGTGGGCTCACAAGCATTGCCTCTGCCATGTCAACCAACAATCTTGGCATACCAAACACTTCCTCTTCATCAAAAAACTCTTGCCCCACTGCTCCTTCATCTCCAACTTCAGGTTGGCACTCTGTTTGATGCCGCGCTTCTTCGCTTTCCAGTTGTGGCGCTCTAACAGCAGCAGCATTTGCAGCTGCCGCGCGTATGTCTGCTGCTGTTAGAGAATTCGGCATAGTATATGAACACATTGAGTCCGGGAAGTTCAACGGGGTATCAGGACCTTTTAATGCCAAAGCTGCAACATCATAAGCTGCAGCTGCCATCTCTGGTGTTGGATACGTTCCTAGCCATATTCTCGTAGTTTTCCGCGGTTCACGTATTTCTGATACCCATTTGCCATTCCTCCTGCGAATTCCTCTATAAACAGAATGCCTTCCCTGTTCTGACCTGTTTGATATAGCAGTACTATTAGTAGGACAATGATTGCTCCACATTTTAGGGTGTGTTTGATGAAATCTGCACAAAGGGAAAGGGTTGGTTGTTATTGTGGGTAAAGTCAAAATTAGGACTAGCCATGCATTGAAAATAGGTTGAGGAGGTCTTTGGGTATTACTACTAGTTTGGGAATTGGGCTATAAAAAGAGGAAGAGTTCAGTAGGCGAAACGTGGGGAATTCGCGGATCCCTCCTATAGGCATACGTGGTTATAACACATTAGGGGCACTTATTAATGTAGTTTAATCTTGACATGTTGCTCTTGTGCCCACACGTAATTGGGGAAAGCTATAACTTAGCTGTTAAATGCTCAGTTTGTAGTCCAATCAAAGTAATAGCCTGTGTGATAGCATCAGTAAAGTGAAATTGATTTTTAAATTGTAGGTTGAAATTTAATGTTTTTTTGTTATCTTACTATAATTAGAAATTTACATATGGGATTAACAGACACAGATTTAGTAATTCTTTTGTTGATTTATGTCAGACCGTGATGTATATGTAACCAATTGAATATTGGTCTCATTATTGAACTTGTCTTGGTTATAACAAAAGGAAAGTAGAGATTAGTGGTAGTATCTCTTAGCTCGGTCCATTTATAATTTTCTATGTTTCGCCCTTTTATAATGGGAACCAAACCATATCACTATAAAGTTGGAATGGATCTTTTTCCGGGACTATATAGTAATGAAAATTTTACTCAAACTATTACGTCTTATATATTATAAACTAAAATAATTTCAAGATATTATTACTTATAGTTATCTTTTCTATTTTATAGCAAAATAGATATTTATTTTATACTCTAACATTGAGGCATAAAATACGCCAATTATATTCTCTCTCTACCAACAAGATTCTCAATCATCTCTTCTCCCTCAAATCTCTCTCCCTTGTCCATCAAGGCAACCGTCGTAGCAGCCATTTTTGGTGGCGATGGTGGATTTTCTGAAGAGAAGAGAATATATCTGAAGCGAAGAGGGAGTAAGCGAACAGATCTGGCCATGGCTACATATTGAGCTTTTGGAAATCGGAAGCAGAGTCGCCGGAGAAGATTTGAGGGCCGAATTTTTGTTCATCTCCATTTTTAGTTTTAATACAATGTATAGCGTATTTTGCTTGGCCGGAAAACGCCATCTCCGGCGAACTTTCTTCTCTTCTTTGCTATTGAGTCACATACAATGATACAAATACATTGTATTCTGTACAAATATACTCAAATACATTATATTTTTGTATAAATACATTATATTTTCGCATGTATTGAAGTATTCTGAAGGTATGTGTTTTTAACTGATATCACTGTTTTTGTGATTTTTTGTTGTTTGAATACTGTATAGGGTGAAATATGATATGACACGTGGTCGTCTAAAGGGAAGACACGTGGAACCCAAGATGGGGATGGCCGAAGACCGAACGCAGTCATTCCGCTTGTCACTGGAAAGGATAACGTTCATAAAGGTGTGTTAAATGCTCTGCGTCCGGTAGCATAGGGAATATTCTGTAGCATTAAGAGCGACGGTCCGTTACAGAGAATTTGGCATTTATGTTCACCGTTATATTTTCGTCAATGACCCTCATAATTGACATTAAAGGAAGACACGATCCTAGGACCTCCTTCCCTAGATATAGCTATAAATAGTAAGGTCAGTTATCATTGTAAGGGGGACAAATTTTCTGGCTAAACTTATATTACATTCAATACAAATCTTAATACAATCTTACTTTCTTGCTTTTTTATCGCATCATTGCTATGCTCGAAAACTCTATTCCCGGAACTGTCGTCTATGTTGTTTCATTTACATTTCAAGGCTCAGTATTGTATATTTCTTCAATTATTGTATTATTTCAGGATCAAATTAGTTCATTTGTCTAGAAACCACATATAAATTCAACTGTACAATTTTATGGGTAAATAATTTGGCGCCCACCGTGGGGCCTAGACAGTCGTGCTATTAAATTAATCCTTGTCTTTTTTACTTACGCGATTTGATTATTTTGTCTTAGAAAAAATTATTTAAAAAATGGCAGATAACACTGTTAACAACACGCACAACCCTGAAATTCGAGGTGATCAGCCTTATTTCGAGGATTCAATCAATGACACCCGTAATGAGTAGAAAGATGCCACGCCGGTACATGACACGCAGTACCCTCGACAGGTCTGGGATACAACTCCCGATGATGCTGATGAGGAGCATGTCGTGGATGAGGTGGGGGTCCTGCAAGAGCAACATGCAATCATTCTAGGACATCTCACATGGCAGGATCAGGCTATGATAGAACTGAAGCAGGCACTATCGGGGGCTTCTAATAATGCAAACAGACGAGATTCAACTCCTCCCGGTGTTCCTGCAAACCAAACGACACAAAGAGTCGACAACAACACTCCCAGGGGCGAAGTTGGCTCCGGCGGGGCCGGGGGGAGTAGATCCGGTCTTAATAACGAGAACGACCCTTTCAAAAATGAACTTTTATGGTTTATGAGGGAAGTAAATACCCATATGGATCAAATCCCGGGTGCACCACCAATATTGAAAGGCCCGAACTCGAAGAAGTATACTCAATTATCGTATAAGCCGAGTGCGGCACCAGAACTAATCCAAAAGTGGTTCAAAATGCCTGAAGTGCCAAAGTATGACGGGATTTCAGACCCACATGAGCATATTACCACCTACACAACGGTGGTAAAAGGAAATGATTTAACTCCTCACAAAATTGAATCTGTGTTGCTAAAGAAATTTGGAGAAACTCTCACGAGGGGAGCTCTAACGTGGTATTCATTATTACCCGAGTATTCCATAGATTCCTTTGAGATGCTCGCGAATTCTTTCATCAAAGCTCATGCTGGGGCCAGAAAAGTACAAGCCCGGAAGGCTGACATATTCAGGATCGCACATGGAGAATCTGAATTATTACGAGAGTTCGTTACCCGATTCCATAAAGAAAGAATGTTGCTCTCGGCTATCCCGGATGAATGGGCATCTAAAGCATTCACCAAAGGGTTGAATCTGAGAAGCTCAGACGCATCCCGGAAGGTGAAGGAGAGCGTGCTTGAGTTTCAAGCAACAACTTGGGAAGATGTCCACAACCGGTATGCGTTAAAGATAAGGATCGAAGATGACCAGGTCGGTTCCACATCATCGGCCAAAAGACGGGAGAAGAGCAGAGAAAAATCAAAGGATGACTATGACACGGACAGACGGATTTTGAAGGGCCGGTTTTGCCCTACGAGCGGACCAAAGGCCATGGCAGAAACTTTCGGGCAGTAAACAAGTCCATCATTGACAGAGGGACCAATCGTGGTCGAAATAATAGATCACTCCATGATAAAGAGACGTCGGGGTCTCGGGATCCGTCTTACCCCACGTTATCAGAATATAACTTCAACTTCAGTATAGTGGAGTTGGTGTCAGCCATGAGAAATATTAAAGAGTCATGATTCCCGAGACCTATGAGATTCGACCATCCAGATAGATCCCAATTTATGGTGCGAGTATCATGGGATAAATGGTCACCAGGCAGGGGACTGTCGGCACCTCCGGGAAGAAGTGGCTACACTATTGAAGAATGGTCACCTCAGAGAATTCTTGAGTGACCGAGCTAAGAACATTTATGGTCGTAATAGAGACAACGCGGAACCTTCAAAAGCAGAAGAAGAACCCCTACGCTAAACGATCAATATGATCTTCGGGGGGAATGAGATTAACGGGGTCACCTTTTCAGCAGCGAAGAAGACGAAAGTATCAATAACTCATAGTAAAAGACTCTGGGAAGACGATATCACTTTCACGGAGGAGGACGTAGACGGATTGTTGTTACCACACAACGATGCACTGGTAATTTCTTTAAATATGTTAGATTTTAAGACTAAACGTGTTCTAGTGGATCCAGGAAGTTCGACTAATATAATACAATGGAGATTATTGGAGCAAGCTAAACTCACCGGAAGCATTATTCCGGCAACAAAGCTCCTCGCTGGATTCAACCTTGCGAGCATGACAACCCGAGAAGAGATTTTGCTGCTCACAAATGCTGAAGGAGTAATGAAAACAACTCTCTTCGAAGTAGAAGATGGTGACATGGGATACAACATCATCCTGGGAAGGCCATGGTTACACGAGATGAAAGTTGTACCCTCAACACATCATCAATTGCTGAAGTTTCCAATGCCCGAAGGAATCAAGAAGATAAGAGGTGATTAGCTGGCAGCAAGGGAGATGAATGCAATCTCAGTTTCCAGTAGCAAAGGGAAGGAATGAACGACATAGCAATTACAGGAACCGGCACCTACTCCCGAGCTAGAAGGAGTTAGCCTGGAAGTAGAGTCGTCAGAACAATATCAGGTGCCGAGATATTTCCAAATTCTAGAAGAGACGGATGCAACGAAGTCCATAGCAGAGGAATTGGAGCAAGCTACATTGTTCGAGGAATTCCTAGAAAGAAAATTCCATCTGGGGACAGGACTGCATCCGGAGCTCAGGTCTGGTTTTATTAAATTCCTTAAATTTAATACCGATTGTTTTGCATGGTCGCACGAGGATATGACAGGTATCCCGACGGAAATAGTCATGAACAAGCTGAGTTTGGATCCCAACGTACCTCTGGTAAGACAGAAGAAATGCCTTATTGCCGAGACCAAGAGTAAATTCGTCAAAGAAGAGGTAACCCGCTTGCTTAAAATTGATTTGGTCCGAGAGGTAAGATATCCGGACTTGCTAGCCAATGTAGTAGTAGTTCCTAAGAAGAACAATAAATTTTGTATGTGTGTAGATTATAAAGACCTTAATAAGGCGTGCCGGAAAGACTCGTTCCCACTGCCAAATATCGATCAAATGATTGGTGCCATGGCCGAGTACGAGTTGATGAGTTTACTCGATACTTATTCCGGGTACAACCAAATCAAGATGAGCCCAGAAGATTAGGAAAAAACTTTGTTTATAACGTATTTTGGTACATATTGTTACAATGTAATGCCCTTCAGGTTGAAAAACGACGGAACCACTTATCAACGGCTCGTAAATAAGATGTTTGAAAAGCAAATAGGAAAGACTGGAAGTTAATGTAGATGATATGCTCGTTATGTATTTGAATGCAGGTGACCATC